TTCTAAAGTCCAACCTATATGTCTGACTACTTACAGCTTTTCCCTTCCCCAAGATCTTAAATTCAAAAATTGCATGTGTAATTATATTGTGCAAAATGCTGCTGTCAATCTCCATCATAGCAGAATTAAAGTTTATATAGTTTATAAAATATATAAAGTTTATATATTTTTAAAAAGCTTGATCTATATACTATTAGTGACATGTGGCCTCCATCTGCAGAGATCTAAATCCATGGACTAGGGCCACATGGACACTAAAGAGATTTTTCTGCAAAATTGGGGGACCCCCTAGGATTGCAAAAAAATTCCAAAACTTAATAAAAATATATAGGGGGGTTTAAATAACCCCCCTATACAATCGCATTGTCTGCGCACATGCAGACAATGCTCTTATCTTATGAAAGCAGAGCTGCTATGGCCTGGCCTGGCAGCAGCCATCAGCAGCTGCGCTGGGTATGGCCTCAGCATCAAAGCCTGTCTGCAGCTGTGCCTAGCCTGGCTGCAGTTGTGGAGGACACCCAGCAGTTGCTGCAGCTCAGCCACAGTGGAGGAGGACACCTGGGATCGCTGTGTCCTGGCCCCAGTGGAGGAGGACTCACAGCAGCTGCTGCAGCCCAGCTGCAATGGTGGAAGACACCTGGCAGCCATGCCAGGCTTGGCAGTGGTGGCAGAGGATGCTGGCAGGCACACCTGGCCCAGCCGCAGTGGAAGAGGGCTCCCGGTAGCCGCTGTGGACTGGCTGCAACAGTGGAGGACACCTGGCAGCTGCACTGGGCTTGGCAGCAGGGGCAGAAAACATCAGCTACAGATGTGGCAGAGGAGGATGCCAGTAGCCGAGACAAGCAGTGATGGAGGAGGACACTGGGTTAATTCCCCCCAATGAGTCTCCCACCCCTCAATCCATAAGGTGAATTGGCAACGATGGGGGGAGGGATTCCCCCCACAAGTATCATCAGTGCCCACTTGTCATATTTAATAGCCAACTGGCTGGCCCTCTGTACAAATGATCAAAACAGCAGAACTAGACCACTGACAGCTAGGGATTTCTATTTACTCTCCGGGTATGCAGAAAAAGGAGATTTCATAAACTGACGAAGAGAGCCTCCCCAAGCATTCAACCACCTTTAGGAACAACTGAGAGTCAATGAAAAGAAAAAACTGGGAGATGAAAAGTTAGCCTGCTCAAGCCCCTAAGAGAATCCTGGAAGGGGAGATCTCAGGTAGTGAGATTTCTTCCCTCTCCCATGGGCCCCCAGCTTGTTACTTCTTAATGGACACCGATAGATAAGGAATGTTGAGTGGCAGCTAGACAGAAGAGCTAGATTCCAGACCAGAAGCGCCTTAGAGACCAAAAAGATTTGGGGGAGGGTATGAGTTTTCACGAGTCAAAGCTCACTTCATCAGAGCTTAGATGCTCAAAAGCTCATACCTCCTCAAAATCTTCTTGGTCTCTAAGGTGCTGCTGGACTGGAATCTAGCTGTTCCACTGCAGACCAACACGGTTACCCTCTGAAGCGAAAGGGAAGGAAGCGGTGAGGGAAAGTGATCTGCTTGAGCTCCTATACTATTGAGGGAGATCAGGGTCTGGGGACACACATTGTGAGGCATGTATCCCCCACATAGTTCCCCTCTCTACCCCAGTCTAGCTTGCTATACGCTTTTAAGGGATTCAACCACCTTTAGAAGCTAAGAGTGTTCTGGCAGGGAGATTAATTAATGAATATATGGGAAAAGTGCTTTCTCCAATCATAATTAATTGCATTCACCCCAGGATTCTTTAATGGCTCCCCAGCCCCCACCCCATTGTAGTAGAGCCAGTTTGGTGTAGTGGTTAAGTGCGCAGACTCTAATCTGGGAGAACCAGGTTTGATTCCCTACTCCTCCACTTGTACCTGGCTGGGCAAGCCATAGTTCTGATAAGAGCTGTTCTTGAAAAAGAGCAGTTTCTGTCAAGAGCTCTCTCAGCCCCTCCTACCTCACAGGGTGTCTGTTGTGGGGAGGGGAAGGGAAAGGAGTTTGTAAGCCGCTCCAAGACACCTTTGGGTAGTGAAGGGCGGGGTATAAATCCAATCTCTTCTTCTCCTCTTCTTCTTTAAGCTGCAAAGGCAGCAAAGTCCCTAACATTGGAATGGAGGATGAAATTACAGTTGCGGGAACAGATGAGGTGTGCATTCCCCAGCAATACCTCCCATTTTTCCATATAGTGTGGGAGAAGTACATGTAACTTCTCTTCCTGCATCACAATGCTCCTGATTAAGGTTTGTAGTAGCAGTTTCCTACTCACCTAGCCCAAAATCTCAGCAGTCACGGCTACAGTGCAATTTCCAGGATTTATGAGGTTTGGGTCTCGGATGAGTAGAAAGCTACTCATTTTGCTGTGGCACTCAGCAGTATCATGCTATTGTGCTATTTAGAGCTTCTATCTACCCCACCACAGAACTCCTAGCAGCTCTCCAACTTGTTTCTAATTGCTTCTGTTTACTTTTCTGTCCTATTTAAAAAACACCTTAGGCATGTGCCTGATATAAAGCATGGAGGCAACTGTTTTAACACTAGCATGTCCTTTTTCTATGCTTGGTTTTCCCCAAACCAGCAAGCAATCTAAAATTAATGTTAAGGAAAGGGACAAAGAGCCACTCCTGGTGTATGCAACTCATATGTCATTTTCACAAACTGAGAGTCTCATATTCAGGATCTTCAAATCAAAGAGAAAGCTTCATTGATTAGAATGTACCTGTGACTTAGCTATGTTTTGTAATGTCACATTATTCAGAAACTTTCTTTTCCAGACTTAGTATCATTTGCGACAGTACTCAGTCTTCAACCAAGCCTCAAAAATAAGAGTCAAGACCAATGAGAGTTTTTCCACAATCACAAAAGTGTTCCTTCTGAATACCCCATGCTAGAGAGTTTCCCAGCAAGAAAACGAATTTTTACAATAAATGGTTCTTTGTTGATGCTGAAAATACCATGGAAACAAAAATGTACAAAAATACTTTAATATTGTGTTATGTGAACATGAAAACAATGTAAGATATATTTCAAAATGTTTTGGACAATATAACAATAATGATTATTATAAGGACGTGATTTTTTTTAAAGCATGCATAAAAGTGGATAAAACTGCATCAGGAAGCCAGTAATAAAAGCAACATGAGCAAGCAAAATGAAATTGGTCAGTAACTATATTGGCTTACATAAATACAGAATATATTGAAAGGATAAAAATCTGTAAATATAAATGATAAAATAACTCAAATAATTGTTAACTTAAAATTCTATGAATGAGGGATGTGCTTTTGTAAGCTTAATTACATTGTCTGCTATAACAAAACAATCCCTGATATCTCAGCTTAGTTCACAAGATCTACATCTTCAAACCTGCTGAAAGAAGGCCATCCGACTCAGACAAATCAGCCACCTCCAATGGTTACCTAAGAAATAAAACGTTTTCATCAGCCATAGTTTATCTTGCACTCTGGTAACTTTCAAACATTGCAAGACTCTTCCTTGGTCTAAGGAATCACTGTCTCGGCTATATAGAGCCCTGCATCTGAATGGCTTAAATGATTAGTTCTGAATAGTATCCGGGGTTTGATCCAGAGACAACTGTGTGCAACAGGTGGGATCTAACAGGCCATGTATGTGCTTGAGCATTTGAAGACCTCCTCCTTTCCATAGTCCATGCTCCTGAAAAACTGGTCTTCACTACTGGGGGACCGCTGCCCCCTGAATGGCACCTTTCACAGTGTTTACAGGGTGCAGCCAGAAGTGGGGGGAAAGCAAGACAACCTTTATGTGTTGCACATTTACTCAATTTCAACAATTTATACATCACCTCTCAGCAAACTGCTCCCGTGGCAATGTACAATGGTACATTGTAGATAAGGCATCGATAATCAAATAAAAAAGGAAACAAATCTAAAACCACCAATAAAATGTAAAATAAAACCAGTTATGCAAGTGCTTGGGTGTGGCCCTTTGAATCTCAGTCCAAACCTACACATTTCCTCCTGCATTGATACAGATAGCCAGTCTAAGAAGCCAGACTGTCTATCTAAAAACACGTCTCTGTTGTGCAGTTTATTATTATCTGTGCCTGAAGAAACACACCTACTAATCCCACTGAGTGTTTTCATTACCTAAACTCAGTGGTGTCCAGATATGGAAGACAGTGGAACTTCTCTGGTTTTCCATGCATGGAAGCATCTTGTGAGGGTATTTGTGTGGACAAACCAGAACCCTGTGCAGTGATATTCACATTGCTATCTGAGGTATGTAAAGTCATTTTGAAACTTTTTATCCCTTCACACCCTAAATTCACAGTATTCCAGACATAATCTCACACATGTTAACTATTGCCACCATCAACATAATTTACATGTCACAAAGGCAATGAAACAATATGTTGAGAAGATCTGCTCTGTTCTTGTGCTCATACACACCTTTTAATTTTTTTCAATTAAAATAGTATTTACATATCCTGTTGGCCTGCAGAAATGTTGAGCAATTGGTAAGTTGCCATCAGTGCGAAAACCCTCGATGACATTACTTGGAAGATCTCTTTTACTCAATCTCCTTTGTGAATCATACTTTTCCAAGGACACACAGAAACCTTTTGTTGCCGTTGCAACATGTGTGGATGTATATTCATGAAGGTGTAAATGTCTAAGTGAAGCTCAAGTGGGTGAAGATCCGGTGCTTTGAAGATATGATCTATTATATTACAAATTGCATCATCCTTCTTTATCTTAAAAGGTGGCGGCACCTCCACATAACTGCAGCTGTGTGTTGAGCCACCATCTCATCACAAATCCCAAGGCAAATCCCAGGCTTGCAGTGCACCTGTGAGTTCTCTGATCTGGTTCTCATAATACTAACTAAGTGCTGAGGTTAGGGGAGGTGGAGAACTACTCAAAAATAGTCTGTTTCCTGAAAAGCAAGCCACATCTAAACTTCCCTCATTGTGGAGTTTTACAACTAAGTTGTAGGTGTCAGTTTTACCTTCTAGTACGATATGCATTCAGTTCTTCTTGCAAGACGGATGCCCTTTTCTGCAGAAAAGTGACCTAGAAAATACAAAGGAACTTCTGGTATACAAAACAGCAAACCACTGTGAGTGAGAGAGGTATCCATTTATTATTTAATTTATTCGTGCTGATACCTATTGGTAATTGTTACCTCTAAGCAGAAATTATGATCTGTGATACTGTGCATACTGACAGGAGAAGCAGTATATTTTCCCAGTGAGTCACATAGACTGGAAATACCTTCCTTGGACCTCCCACAGTTGTTGTTCAGTCGCACAGTCAAGTCCGACTCTTTGCGACCCCATGGACCAGATCACGCCAGGCCTTCCTGTCTTCCGCCGTACTCTGAAGTTGGCTCAATTTCATGTTCGTTGCATCTATGACACTGTCTAACCATCTCATTCTTTGCCGTCCCCGTCTTCTTTGACCTTCAATCTTTCCTAGCGTCAGGACCTCCCACAGACACTGCCTTTATTCTACACAACATCTTGAAAACATTCAGGTATACCAGGTTTTCTTAAAATGTAAGCCTTAAAAGATGTTTACAGGGTACTTGGTGATTTACAACTAAGAATGGGATAAGGGTCTGTTCTTCTGTGTCAGTGTTGACACTGACACAACATAGATTCTTAGAAGAAAGTAACCAGAATCATAGAATCATAGAGTTGGAAGGGACCTCCAGCGTCATCTAGTCCAACCCCCTGCACAATGCAGGAAATTCACAAATGCCTCCCCCCATGCCCCCAGTGACCCCTGTTCCATGCCCAGAAGATGGAAAAATCCCCCCTCCAGGATACCTGGCCAAACTGGCCTGGAGAAAATTGCTTCCTGAACCTAAAGTGGCAATCAGCATTTCCCTGGACTTATAAGAAAGGGCCATGAGAACTAAGCATTGATGCAACCCTTCCTGCCCTCCCTTCTCGTGATCTGCCTAAATTCACGGAATCGGCATAGTTGTCAGATGACCATCTAGCCTCTGTTTAAAAACCTCCAAAGAAGAGCCCACCACCTCCCGAGGAAGCCTGTTCCACTGAGGAACCGCGCTAACTGTCAGGAAGCTCTTCCTAATGTTTAGCCGGAAACTGTTTTGATTTAATCTCAACCCGTTGGTCCTGGTCTGACCTTCTGGGGCAACAGAAAACAACTCCACACCATCCTCTATATGTAAAGATAAAGGTTCCCTTGCTCAAAAGCCAGTCGAGTCCGACTCTAGGGTTACGGTGCTCATCTCCGTTTCAAAGCCGAAGAGCCAGCGCTGTCCGAAGACGTTTCCGTGGTCATGTGGCCGGCATGACTAAACACCAAGGCGCACGGAACGCTGTTACCTTCCCACTGAAGTGGTACCTATTTATCTACTTGCAATTTCTTGCTTTCAAACTGCTAGGTTGGCAGGAGCTGGAACTAGATGGGAGCTCACTCAGTCATGTGGCACAATTGGGTCTTGAACTGCTGAACTACCGACCTTCCACAGCCTGCAGTTCAGCGTCTTAACCACTTGAGCCACCGCAGCTCCTCTCCTCTATATGACAGCCCTTCAAATACTTGAAGATGGTTATCATATCACCTCTCAGTTGTCTCCTCTCCAGTCTAAACATCCCCAGCTCCTTCAACCTTTCCTCATAGGACTTGGTCTCCAGACCCCTCACCATCCTTGTTGTCCTCTTCTGGACTCATTCCAGCTTGTTTAAATTGTGGTGCCCAAAACGGAACACAACGCTCTAGGTGAGGTCTAACCAGAGCAGAGTAAAATGTGCAGAATGTTCTTGCTGCAGGCGAAGTCTAAGCATTCTATACCAGTGCATTTGTGCCATGCTAGGACAACACATATAGGATACACTAAAAAACTCAAGAAGAGAGGGGGAGGTGGTGGCCAACATATTTTAAACATAAGCAAAGCTTTGTTTGAGAAGGGAATGTTTCCTATTTGTTCATTGTTAACGCTACTCACTTGGTACTTTTACCCAACCAAGCTCTCTCATGCCTCTGGAACAATTAATAACCCTGACAGGTGCAAAGAATTCCAGTGCTCTCTGTGTCTGATGTTTTTTGAAGCAGGAATTTCAACAATTTTGAAAGAAGAGGACACCTGTGCTTCAGGAGAGAGCCCTGCTTACTGAGCAGTCTGTGGCTGGCTACTGCATTTCACAGCACAGGCAGCTGCCAGCTATGCTTTTCCAAGTTAACACCCACTTTTAGAAGTCTGGAGTGACTTCTGCTCCTTTGAAATGTTACACATGCTCAGAGCAGCCCTGCAGGTAGAACTCAGATTTCATTGTTTAAAACCCCCACTCCATTTGAAAGGTGGGGATTTCAGTTGTCATCACTGGAATGTTTTGTATTATGCATAATTATCAAGTAAACCACACTTCTCATTAACTAGACATGAGTTTCCTACATACATCCTTAACCCTTTAATTTGCTTCTGGAATGACAACACTGTAAATTATTTCCAACAGGAATTCCGTCTCAGAAAAAGAACAAATGAAATCGTGTCCAGAGAGAATATAGCACTTGGACCACCTTCAGTCCTCCTAGGATCTTCTATTCTCGCTGTCCTCTACTAGGGAGGGTCAATCAATGTCTGCCAGTTTTAGGGCATATGCAGTGATCATGCCCCCACCCACTAGAATAGGCTGCCAGTGGAACTAAGAACTGTGCTTTCTTGTCCCTCTTTCAGGAAAGCATGCAAGATAGTTATTATATGATTTTATTGCTGTTACTGTTTTAGGTATACTTGGAACACATTCATGAATACTGCCATGAGCCCAATAGGGACAGGCAGGTAGGGTTGCCAGACCCCCACCGGGGGAACCCCCACTTTTGGGGGGCACTTCCCCACCACCGGTCTGGTGGCTGGCGGGGGTATATCCTACCTCCAACTGGTCCAAAAGGCAATGTGATTATGTCACATCATACTGTGACGCTCTAGTTTTTGGGCAAAACTCTGGTAAAATTGCCTAAAAACCATAGAGTTTTGCCCAAAAACTAGAATGTCACTCCCCCAATGCTGGCAACATGAGGATGTCACTTCCGGATGATGTCATCATGCCACACATCCTGGGAAGGAGCCTGGATTCCCCCGCTGGCTGCCAGGTAGGACCTGGCAACCCTACAGGCAGCCCATCAATATAAAAAAACTTTTATGGAAATTTTATTAGCATATTTAGGAGTATTGACATCAAGGGGAAATATTCCATATGTAACATTTTCTATTGCAAGTAAAGTAATGCCAAGCTTCTCCCTGAAAGGGGAGCAAAGTATGACTCCCTTTTCAAAAATCGTGGAGTTCCATCAGAAAGTTTTTATGTGTCAGAAAATATAAGCATTTCTAAAAGATCGTCAGCCTTATTTCCAACAATAATTTTCAAAACACATCTGTGGCAAAAGGATCTCTTTATTAGAGGTTTCCTGATAAATTGGGAACTCATTTATCATTGTAACTTCTTGATCTTGCTCTGAAACCCTTTTGCATTAATGTAAGAACATCATAGCATTTCAGGTTACTCCAAGTAGATCTCAAAAGGCTCCTGCTTAAGAGGAATTAGTACAACAGAAATTCTATTACATTGTATTCTGGGGCCATAAGAATATAACAACGTAAGAAGAGCCCCACTGGATCAGATCAGTATCTAGTCCAGCATCGTGTCTCACACAGTGGCCAACCAGTTCTTCTGGACGGCCAACAACAGGGCATAGAGGCCAAAGTCTTCCCCTGATGTTGCCTGCTGGCTCTGCAATTCAGAGGTTTAGTGCCTCCGGATGAGGTTTCCTTAGTCACCATGGCTAGTAGCCACAGATAGACCTATCCTCCATGAATCTATTTCATCCCTCTTTTAAAGCTGTTTATTTCTGTGGCTATCACTACATCTTCTGATAGCAATTTCCACATTTTAATCACTTTCTGTGTAAAGTACTATTTCTTTTTGTCTGTCCTGAACTTACTGACCATCAACTTCATTAAATGCCCTTGAGTTCTAGTATTTTGGGAGAGCAAGAAAAAATCCTCTTTTTCAACACTCTCCAGCCTTGCATAATTTCATAAACCTCTATCATGTCCCCCCTTAGTCGTCTCTTTTCTAAAATGAAAAATCCCAGATTCTTCAGCCTTTCCTCATAGGTAAGGTGTTCCAACCCCCTAATAATCTTGGTTGGACTCCATGGTACTTTTTCCAACTCTGCAATGTCCTTTTTGAGATACAGTGACCAGAACTGTACACAGTATTCCAAATGAGGCTACACCACAGATCTATACAGGGGCATTACATTATTGGCCCTTTTATTTTCTATCCCTTTCCTAATAATTCCTGACAGAGAGTTTGCCTTTTTCACCACTGCAGCACATTGGGTCGATGCTTTCATTGAGCTATCCACTATAACCCCAAGATCTTTTTCACTCTCAGTCTCAGCCCTCTTTGATGCACAGAAAAGGCCCTGTGGCTTTTCTGGTCTAATATTCCACAATAGGGATGGGCACGGACCCGAACCCTGAGCTAAAATCCAGGCCGAACATTGCCTTTTTTGGAGCTCGGATGGACCAGCTTGAAGGTTACGTGTCCAGAAGCTTGAGCGGCTGATCTTCCTGTGCCCAGCTCGGAAGTATTCGGGTACTTTCGCCAGAGCAACCCCACCCCCATAGTTTCACGTGGAAAAGCGAGTGTGGGTGGGATTTTTTGGCCATCGAGGGACCAATATTGGGCACCCAAGGCTTACAGGCATCTCCGATTCCCAATCAGAGACGTCCATCCTTCTCCCTTGGAATGGGAGGGGTGTGTGTATATATTCCCAGGCAGTGCATGACTGTCCTTTGTTTTGCGTTGTGGTCTCTTGCAGTGTAGTGCTTCTTTTGTGCGCGGAAAAATCTTGGGGTGGGGGTAAAAATTTACTGAGGTCGCTGGCTGGCTGGCTGGCTGGAGAAACCTGCTGGATCTCCTGGCGACAATACCAATCACCAGACGAAAAACATCCTCCCTTTCCCTTTTCTTGCTGTTTTCCCCCTTTCTGAGTTTCTCCGCTGCAATGCCTAGTCCCTGCCTCCCTTTTCTCTCTTCCCTGCGAGGGGTGGGAAACTGGGCTTGAATTCTTTTGCTTTCACAACGCGTTTTTGGTTTGACTCTGGGGTTGCCTGTTTCATTGGCAAATCAAACAGTGGAGCCACCCCACCCCTTCCGTGGGTTCTGTAAGCAGCTGTTTTCTCTGCCTGCTGGCAGTGGGGCTTGACTTTTCTGCTCCTCCCAAAAGGACACCTGCTCTCCCCTGGCCAGTTGGTGACCAACCACCCAACCACTCTCGGGGGGGGGGGAATTGGTGACTGCCCTTAGCACCGGCTGTGAGTTCTTTCCCCCTTTCTGCCCCATGCACCCCATCCTGCCTGGGTTGTTGAAGTCTCTCACCTCAGAGCTCTCTCTCTCTCCCCTTACCTGTTGGTGACCAAGTCTCAAACCACCTTCTGGGGGGAGGGTGGCAAAGTCCCCTGGGGCACTGGCTGTGGGTTCCCCCCCCCCTTCCTGCACTCTGCCTGCTTGCCTGCCTGGGTTCTTGAAGTCTCTCACCTCAGAGTCCTCTCTCTCTCTCTCTTCCCTGGTCACTTGACAACCAGGTTTGTGTTTCTGCTTCTCCTGAAAGGAACCTCCTCACCTTCTTTCAGGGTCCCTGGAGTGTCTGAAGTGGGTTCCCCCTGAGTCAGCCCAGCACATTTGGGGCTTCTGTCTTGCGATTACTCTCTGTTCTCTGCTTGCTGGCTGTGCGGCCTGCCTTTCCACCCAAAGAGTGATTAACATTTGGAATTCCCTGCCACAGGAAGTGGTGGCGGCTACAAGCATGGCCGGCTTCAAAAGGGAATTAGATAAGCATATGGAGCAGAGGTCCATCAGTGGCTATTAGCCACAAGATATAGATAGGGACTCTGGGGCAAGTGATGCTCTGTCTTCTTGGTGCTTGGGGGGGGTCAACAGTGGGAGGGCTTCTAATGTCCTGGCCCCACTGGTGGACCTCCTGATGGCACTGGTATTTCTGGCCACTGTGTGATACAGAGTGTTGGACTGGATGGGCCTTTGGCCTGATCCAACATTGGCATCTCTTATGTTCTTATGTTGGACCAGTTCGAAAACTGGTCTGGGAGTGTTCGGTTCAGTTCGGTTGGGGGCAAAATCTGGAAAGTGCCCATCCCTATTCCACAAACCTTGTGTTCTACCTGAATTCCCACAAAGAAGCCACAGAGTGAAAGTACCATTTTTCTGTGTTACAGAAAAGTATGTATGATTATTTTTATGTGTTCTCATATTGCAGAGGCTGCCAACATTTAAAACTTTTACCTAGGTTTTCAGTTAATTAATGATTAGCGAACAGCCACCATGGTCAGATTATATGGAATTTTAAATGAGTTCAAAATAGGGTCAATCTACTTTTTAAAATTATATGTTTATACCTTGCTTTTCTTCCCAATGGATAACCGAAGCAGCTTATAACATTGTTTTTACCTTCTCCATTTTATCTTTACAATAACAATCCTGTGAGGTAGGTTAGGCTCAGAGTATGTGACTGGCCCAAGGCCACCCAGCAAGCTTCCATGGCAGAGTGTGGATTTGAATCTGGATCTCCCAGATCCAAATCTGACACTCCAACCAATACAGTATACTGGCACCTGGAATATGGCTGCACTGTACATGCAACAGTGATAATGTTTTTCTAATACTGGCCATTGTATTCAAACCAGGCTGGAACTCTACTGATTAGAAAGCAGACTGGGGTTGTATGCTATGACTCCCTTCCACCAAATCTTCCAAAACAGAAAGATTTCTTTCAACAAATTCTTTTTTCCCATCAGAAGAAGCCTGCCCCCATCATAAAAAGTCAGTCTTCTTTAGAGGAAGTCCTTCTCCCTTGAAGGAAAATTTAGCAGAAGAGAATAATAAAATTCAGCTTAGCAGATGTGAGTCATAGGATACAACCTTAAGTCTATGTACAGTGTTAGTACTGGACACCACCAAGCCATTACCTTTATGATCATTCAGTTGAACAACCAAGTCCATAGACAGGATGCTACAATTCTAGCTTTACAAAAAGGCAAATGCCAAGATTTTACCTGAGATTTCAATGAAATAATTGTGTCTTCAAGTTCTTGTCTCAAAGATGCTGGCATCAGACCTTTAAGTTTAGTTTCATATTCTTGCCGTATAGAATTCATCTGAAACCAAAGCGAGTGAAAATTGACATAGCATGAGATGACCTAGTTGAGGTTATATCTAGGGGTACCCATCGGCTACTTTTCCAGTTGATACTTCAGGATCAAGGAACATATATGCAGAGGAACAAGGACCACTGAGAAAACAGAACAAGATTTGAGTCCAGTGGCAGCTTTAAGACCAATGAAGTTTAATTCTGGGTATAAGCTTTTGTGTGCATGCACACTTCTTCAGATACATTGAAACAGACTTTGCCAACCATTACATATAGGTAGAGAGAGGGTGGGGAGGTTAGTTGCCAGGAAGGGGTAATTAGAGTCAAGCTGCATAAGTAACTGAGAGATAAGTATAGCTACGTTTGGATTAAAGCAGTTGAGTAAGACCTGTGAATAGCAGCAAATTAGCATACAGATAATAAAAGTTAACAAACAGATGTGAGAACGAAGTGACAGCATGTGTAATGAGAAAGAACCTGATATCTCTGTTAAGCCCTGGGGGTTCCATTGTCTTGAGTGTTGTAATAACCTGTAAGCCATCAATCTCCCGTTCTAGCTGCTTATGAAATTCCTTTGCAATAAAACTCTGAGACTCCCCTTTGAGTATCCTGTGAGGCTGAAATGTTCTTCTACAGGTTTCTCAATTTTGTGATTCTTGATATCAGATTTGTGTCCATTTATCCTTTGGTATAGGATTTATTTATTTTATATATTGTTCGATTTATATCCTACCCTCCCCAAAACGGGCTCAGGGCGGCTAACAATTAGGGCACAAAGCCAAGATTAAACAATTAGGGCACGAAGCTATGATTAAAACACTAAAAACAGAATAAAACAATCCAATAATACATAAAGTACATAACAATCCAATAATACATAAAGTACATAAATACATGCTCTAGATGTCTCTACAGTCCTCTAGATGTCACTTCAATCCTCAATTCCAAGATGGGTTCTGGTAAAATAAGCCCAGAATAGCGGCGTAAGTTCCGTAACAACACTGCCGTCCAATCTTCGTCCCAGGGCCGTCTTGCACCTTGGTGGTACCCGCACCATTTATGGTGGTGGTGCGATGGTGGTACAGTGGCAGTGGTGGCTCCTACTCAAAAGCCTGGCGGAAGAGCTCCGTCTTGCTGGCCCTGCGGAACTGCATAAGGTTTCGCAGGGCCCAGGTCTCCTCCGGGAGCTCATTCCACCAGGTAGGAGCCGCCGCTGAAAAGGCCCTGACCCTGGCCACAGCGAATTTGACATCTCTGGGGCCTGGGGTTACCAAAAGATGTTGGGCCCCCGACCGTAGTGCCCTTGGGGGGTTTGACCTGTTTGCTCTATGTAGAGAACTGAAGGGCATTGTTGGCATTTAGTGGCATATATAATGTTAGACGATGAACAAGTGAATGAGCCTGAGATGGTGTAGTTAAAAAGGCGAAAGATTTATACGATCTGAAGAGGAAACCAGAGTTGTGCAGTGACAGTATCATAGCCAATGAGATTAATCTGAGGCGCGATTATTGTTAATTGGTGTGGTTGATGTTGTTAGGTCCAGTGATTGTGTTGTTCGGGTGTATGTGTCAGCAAAGTTGGCATTTGGGTTTATTGCAAGCTCTGGTACCAGTGTCCATGTTCAAATGATGTATTATTGTGGATGAGGAGTTTGGGGAGGTGAGAAAATAGTTACGCAAAACAGAAGATTTCCTTAATGCTCTCTGGTAGTTTTCACTTCTGTTTCTCTAAACCAGGCCAGTAGCCAGGATTTTTTGTTTTGTGGGGCAATTTTTTTTCTTGTGGGGCATCCATTATGTATCCCTCCCCCCACTCTCTTGAGCGGGGAAAAAACATTGCTGGCATTTTTACACTCTCATTCCAGACTTGGGATCCCCAGGTTCCACCTGGAGTCTGGCATCCCACACACACACCCCCACTCTTTTGATGCAGAACAAAAAAACCCCAAAACACCACTGTTGGGTTTTTTTAAAACTCCAAGTAAGTAAACTTCAGCCTACTAGGGCGGGACTTGATTTGCCAGCTTGGGAATTGGAGGGATGGAGTGGAGATGGCCAGGGCTTGCAGTGGCATGGGAATGGAGGCGGGGCTTACTTGCTTTGCTGGCTGGCAAGAGGCAAGGGAGAGGCAGGCAAAATGAGCAATGTGGGACTGGAGGTGGGGCTTGCTGTGCCCGCGGAGGACTCCCTAGAGAGAGCTGTGAGTGGGGAGGGCGGCTGGCACAAGGCTTGCCATGGCCCCTGGCAGTGGCAGAGAGGACTCCTAAAGATACAGAGAGCTGCGGGGTGTGTGTGTGGCTGGTGTAAGGCTTGTCACCACCCCTGGCAGTAGTGGCGAGGACTCCCTAAAGATACAGAGAACTGCCGGGGGGGGGGGAGAGCAGCACGAGTCTTGCCATGGCCCCTGGCAGCAGCGAGCGCAAGAAATAAGTCAGGGGGCCTGGCCAGGGTGGTAAGTTGGGGGGCCCTGGTGGAAAGTTGGGAGGCTGGGCCCCAAAATGTCCCACTGTAGCTATGGGCCTGATCTAAACAATTTGAGATAACTGGAACTTGTTTTCAAAATGCTAAATCATGGCTGCAGATCTGTGTCAAAGATGCTGACATCAAATTTGTGCATGTGTGGTATCTTTTCTGAATCCTTTTTTTTCTCTCTAAGATGGCCAGACTGAACATATTATTGTAGGAACAGTTCAGTCACTTCCCACTCCTGCTCTTTCTCTCTTAAGTCATTCAGTACTGAATCCATTCTTTTTGCCAGTCGAGCCCACATGCTGTTTTTTGCCCCATATTTCTCATAGCACAGATAAAGTAGTAGCTTTCGATTAAAATGTATCCCCTTTTTAAACATACAGAAGAGATACAAGATTTTTTGTGTGTGCATGTTACTTTGCTCTTTGATGCAATCTTTCATTTGCATCTTAGATATTACTGGAATTCTTTCCAGGGCCATTAGTATCCTTCAGCTGAGTAATAAAACTAGAATAAGCAAGTACAAAACAATACACTAGTATTATAAAGAAGTTTCCTCAACCTTTTGATTAAAAAAAAATTTAAAACATTCCTTGTGCCTTATTCTTGGCCCCTATTCCGATCATATAGCTAAACCAAAAGATTTGACCAATCTCCAAGCCCCAATTGGCCAAAAACAAAGCCTATCTCTTGCAAAAGATTACTTTTTACAGTACTTGGGTGCTTATTTGGTGACACAGATAGGGATTTCTTTCAGTGACTTCAAGACCTATACAAAACACTCCATGAGATGATAAATCAGTTCATACTTCATTTTGAAAACTTTTTTGATATTTTTGAGAATCTGTAGCCTCTTTTTATAGAGGCAAGATAAATTCAGTGAAATCCAAAGCAACCAAAATTAAAACTATGCCTCCTCCTGGAACGGAAGCAACCGGCTATATCTGACCTATATATTTGGCTTTCTTCTTTCCCACATAATGTTGTAGTGCTGGCTGTGCAGCAACTTGTCAGTTGAAGGTTCATTTCTAGGGAAGGAGAAGAAATGCTCTGGCCTGCAAGCTAGGGCCCTCAGCCTTCTGTCATCTGTAGCTGAAATGATATATAGGAATACTGGAAAAGAGCTTTCAAATGCCAAGTTCTTAATCAATGTCAAAATTAAAAATAAAAGATAAAGTAATTGTTACCTGATAAAATTCAGAACAAAGGAAAAGCAGAATAATTTATTTTGCTTTGGGTGTCTATGTCCAATGAAGAGCACTGTTCAAAACTTTGTAACTACTTTCTCTAGACAAGGTGCTGTGTACTTTTAGGTAACAAACTCATCTATTGCTCTCTTGGCTTTTCACAATTTTAACAAGCCCCTGAACAAATCAATCTTTTCCTTGAAGAAGAGAACAGGCTTATCTAGAGATGGTAGTAGGCAAGGCACAGCATCCAGGCTGCTGGTTAACATGGACAGAGAGGTTGTTGAGGCGCACTTGGCTGCATTGGATGAATACAAATCCCCCAAGTCAGATGATGTGCACCCAAGAGTGCTCAAAGAACTTTCTAGAGAATTTGGAGAGCCTTTGTCTATCATCATCAAGGCCTCTTGGAGGATGGACAATGTGCCACAAAACTGGAGGAGGGCAAATGTTATCCCAGTCTTCAAAAAAGGAAGGAAGGATGCTGGTTTCCGGTGAACATGGTTGCTTGCTAGAAGCACTTTAAGCTTCGTCTCTACCCACCAAGGATGTTTTGCCATAAACGTTGGAGGGAGGCATCTTCAAATCCCCCCTCCCCTTCCAAGGAAGGGCTTCGGCAGGTGGGCTCATCTGAATCTCTCCCAGGATAGCTCAGATAACATCAAGACCGTGGGGAAAGAGAGGCGCCATCTGCCAGTAAGAACAGACCTTCACTATCCCTTCTTTGAACTTTCCTTGGCCCTTCCTACACCCTCCCTATAAGGTCTCATCTTTTAACCTTCAGGGTTTCTTCTTCTCTCTTTTATGTACAACAAGAATATTATAAAGCCATAATTAAAGCAGTTTAACAAAGATCCATCCCCTCCCTCCGTTTGGTTTCATTTTTACATCATGACTCCTGTATCCTGGAAGGGAAATATTCTGCTTTGACTGGCAATGTAAAGAACCCACAAATCTTTCTGAACTGAGGGGGAGTGAATCAGACTAAGGAGGCTGCTGTCTTCAGTTAAAGCTTGCAACATAATGAACAAATGTTTTTAAAGGAACTTTCAATGCATCGCTTCTCTCAAGTACATCTGATATCAGTTTGATTCTGGAAATACAGACATAAATGGATATAAAAGCTGATTATACTTCTAAGATGACTACCTAGCTGTAAACATTTGATACTGCTACAGGTATTTTTTAAAATGGATTATTGTGTACAAACAAAGCAGAATAAAAACCTGACCTTGCAGCTTTCATGACCTGGAGGAGTTCCCCCCTCCCTCTCTTGTTATCTCCATCGAATACCTCACCTTGTTTTTCATTGACTGCTTATATTTCATTTACTCCTACCTATGCTGATTGA